CCAGGGTCCCTCCCTCCCTCCAGGGATGTGCTGCCTCTGCTCCCCACTTTCCACATCTTATTATCCAAACAACCTAAAACCTGTAATTAAGGAGGGTAAGGAAAGCATAAAGAAATGTTTATATATCCAGAAATTAAAATTTCAGTGATGAGGCAGTAAATTAACTTAATCAAGTTGGGAGGCATCTATGAGAAATCATTTTTATATGGTTTAATGAGAGAAGGCATTGGAAATGGTGATTTTAATCAGCCAAGTGGGATTTATAAGCAAGAAGATCCTGCTTAAACAACTCATTAGACAGCTCCAAAAAAATCTTTACTGCCTCTGCAGACAGTCAAAACAAAATTTATTGTGTGTATTTACTAATTCCCTAAACCCCTCGGCGGTGTCGCAGATCAAAAGTCAACGGATTAAAGCAGGAAAGAAAGAGGGGAAAAAATCTCCATAAGCACCTGCTGGAGCAAAGCAAGAAGCTCCAAGTCCAGATGAAAAGACACACATGGCTCAACCCAACGATATCTGGCTCCTAAATCCCTGTTTATTATAAACATATAGAGGGAGAAACACTCAACACCTTCTAATCCTTGTTGTAATTTGTGAGGGACTTGCACCCTGGTGATAGTGGAGGACTGGAATGAGAATAACATGGAAAATGGGAAGGTTAATGGGATCCTTCATCCTGGAATTCTGTGATTCCCTGATTTATCAGCCCGTCTGCCTGGCTGTCCAGCCAGGAGTGGTGGCACAGGAGCCAAGGGGCACATCCAGGGCTGGGGAAAACTCCTCCTAAAACTGCTGCTCTGCTCAGCAACATTCCCTGCTTGGGAAGGCAGATCCAAGCGGAATTAACTGGTTTTATAAGGAAACATTAGAGCTGAGTCCAATTCTAAACACAAAAGGTAGTTTCACAAGCAGCATTTCACAGAATCACAGAACAGTTTGGGTCAGAACGGTCCTTGAGGATCATCTAATTCTGAGTCTCAAAATCCAGCACAATTTCAACTCAACTTAATGACACAGAATGATGAGGATTTTTTCCTGCAGTAACACATTTGAGGGGATTGAAAACCACTACAAAGGCAGCTGTACAGGCTGAAAGGTGGAAGATCTTCCCTCTGCACTAAACATCTGGTTTCCTCATGGGATGCAAGAGAAAACCCCGGTAGGAGCAGGGGTTGGAGCAGAGTCCCCCTCCAGGGGCTGCTCTGAGACCTGCACAGCTTTCACTCCTAATTAAATTCACTCTGCTCCCAGTAGGACCAACAGAACGTTGTGATTGTACCTCAAAACTCAAAATCAAAGGCAACACAGCGAGGTCTGGGACAGCAGCAGCAGGAAGGGACCTCTGTAGGAAGCTGGGAGGGCTGGGAGGCAGCAGGAGCATCTCCTGAGGGACCAGTTGGGCTGATCTGCAGCACAGCACCCCACACCACCCCACCTTCCTCTCTGCTCAGCCTGGGCTTTGACCTCAGTCTGCTCCTGCTGGGCTCGACCGGACCAGACACAACAGGACCCCCCAAACCCTCCTCCCACCCTCTTCCCATCGGTCCCACCTCAAACACTCCCAGCTGGAACTTCAGTCCAGCTGCAAACCAACCACAGGTCATCGAATCTTCCTCCAACCTGCTGCCCACAGGACCCTCCTGATCCCTCAGGGTGGTCCCTGGTGGGACCCAGGGGTGCCCCCAACCCTCTCCCACCCCTCAGAACCCACCAGAAAAGCCTTTCCACATGCACGACCTACTCACTGACTTTCCAAGATAAAAAAAAAAAAAAAACAAACCACCAAACAAGCCCTGTTTTCACACCAACCCAAAAATAGCTCCCTGGTTCCCAAACGACTGCAAGTTATTTCTGTTCCTTCCACGCCAGCAGAGATTGGAGGCTCGTGTGGCACCGCTGGCACCACGGGACACGGGCACAGCCAGGACAAGGACACACAGCCCTGGTCTCCCAGCAGTTCCACCTCCAAAACCTCCCCCAGAACCACCTGCAAATTGTTGATCATATTCCCAATAATCCCAGACTGGAATCACCCTCAGCAGGTGGGAAGGGGCCTCCAGGACGATCTGCTCCAACCTCTCCTGGCAAGAGCCCGGCCTGGATGAGACGGCCCAGCTGAACCCCCCCAGATCCCTGCTCTGGTTATTCCACAAAGAGAAGAATCCTGGGGGGTTGTGACCTTTTAAAAACACTGTCAGTGCTGAGGCTGATGTGTCTGGACCTCCAGCCCAGCTGCAGGGCTCACACTCCCAGCACCACGCTGACCTTGCAGACAGCTCGGAGTTAAACCCCTCCTTCCCTTGGCAGAGGTGTCCAGGGACACAATCCATGGGAAGGGTTTCCCACATTTACAAACACGGATTGCACATGGATTACTGGCTGTTCCCAGAGCACAACCTCTGCCTTGCCAGATGTTTGGGCTTTAAGGTGACTGACAGGAGAGGTGGGAAGTGAAATAAGGAATGTGCTGGGAGAGCACCAGGATAGAGGTGGGTCCTGCCTTCCTGCAGGTTTTAACCCTCCTGAACTGTCCACTTCTCCTCTCTTACAAAAACCCAGCATCCTCAGATGGGATTGTCCCTTCCCTCACGTCCTTCTCTTCCACACCCAAGCCAGGCTCAGCACAAGGGGCTGCTGGAACCACCCAGGGAAGGCAGAGCCCTGGAGGAAGGATTTTCCCCTCCTCTCCATCATCTTCACCCTCTGACCCCCTCCTGCCATCCCTGGTCCTCCTCCAGCCCTGTCCTCTCCTCCTCCCTCATTTTCTCCCACTGAAAGGTTTTTTTTCTAACTTTAAAACCCTTTCATCCCTTCATGTTTTATCAAGATAGAGCACATTTTGCTCTATTTTGCCCAATATTCAGCTCATCTCACAAAACTAGGTCACAAAATTCGCAGCTTATACGAATTAGGCTTTAAAGACCCAGAAAATCCCTCTTTTGGGCTTTTTTTTTTTTCTCCTTTCTCTGCACAATTTCCAGGTCTAAAATATTTACCAAAACAAACCCAAACACACCACTTTGTTTTAAAATTCCAAGAGTTATTTACAAAATAACTTGTCCTCCGTTATTTTGTTTGAAAACTCTTCTGCAAAGAATGAAAACAAGCCACGTGCATGTTCTGGGCTGCAGGTGAGCCCTGTAAAGCTTCCACCCCAGCAGGGAGTTTTTATGGAAACAGCAGGGAATTTTTGTGGAAATATCAAAGAGTTTTTATGGAAATATCAGGAGGGTTTTGTGGAAATATCAGAGAGTTTTCATGGAAATATCAGGGAGTTTTTATGGAAATATCAAGGAATTTTTATGGAAATATGAAAGTTTTTATGGAAATATCAGGATGGAAGAGCACAGAGGATTCCCCTGTGCTGTCCCAGCCTCCCTGGGACCAGGCTGAGCTGCAGCCTGAGGCTCTTGGATGTGCAAGGAAAAGAGGATGGAAGCACTGGAACACCAACATATGGACCTAAAAATGATCAAAGCTATTCTGAACATTCCCTGGGGCAGGAAGCAGGCTGGGAAATGAAGGCATGGACTCGCTGGCTGCAGGAGCATCACAGCCCAGCCTGGGCTGAGCTGGGGGCACCACGTTCCCAAGCCCCCCCCCCCCAGAGCATCACCACAGCACCAGAACATCCAGGGAGCACCAAAACCCATCACCTTGGTAACACCCACACTGCCAGAATCCCTCCAGGGGCCACAGTTTGGAGGAAAACACAACTTTGGCTGCCCTTCAAAAATTCTGTGCTACGCTGAGTTACTCCAAACTTCATCTTTTTTAAAAAAACAAAACAGGATTAATGAAATTTTGGACCCTATTTTCTTGTTACTAGACCTTGTAGGAGCCTGATACACCAACTCATCCATGCACAGCAAATTTGGTCCAGATAATCCAACAGAATTAATTATCTGAAAAAACAGCCTTTAAAGATCAGGTGTCCATAAATCACCCAGGACAAAGCTCAGAGCCAGGTGTGATGTTCACCTGTTCACCTCTCTGTTATTCTGATGGATATGTGATTGCTAGTTGCACATTTTATTCCATTTCTAACCACACTTTCTCATATTCCACCATTTACTGCACAACTGAACACATATATTCCAAAAGGGATGTTAATGGCAGTGACTTGCCACAGAAATGTGGGGTTGGAGTCTTTCAGTAATTGGAACAATCAGCTCAGCTTTTCCAGCACTGTTAGTGCTGAGGTGACAAACAAATGGCACTTTTTCACTCTCTGAATTTGGGACAGGCTGGCTCCTCTCCAGTTTGGACACTTTCAGAGTATTGCTTTGGGAACATCACTAAATAAAACCTCCTTCTGGATAAAATCCAGCCATCCCTTGAACTTTTTTAAAAGAACAGGTGATGTCCACGAGGTCCTGGGGGATGTTTCCTGCTTTAGCTCCACACAATCCTAGAACATGCTGAGCTGGAAGGACCCACAGGGGCCATGGAGCCCAACCCTTAACCCTGCATGAGCCCATCCCAAGGGTCCCACCATGTGCTGAGGGGATCATCCAGCTCCTAATTCCCGTGGTTGTGTCACCACACAAATCCTGAAAAGCATTTCAGAAGGATATCTGTGAGCACCTGGGGGTGCAGCACCTGCACAGGTGAGATGGGAACCAGGACAGGAGCACTGAGCCAGGAATTCCCCCCCATCCCTGTTTCCTGCCAGCTGGGAACAGTGTCCAGGTTCAGTAGTACCTGGGAACAGGGGCTGGACTGTTCTCCCTTCTGCTATCCTTGGGGTTTTTATTTTTTTTCCTTCCCCCCTGCTTTTTGTTCCTTCTATTTGCCTTTCGCTTCATCTTTTTTTCTCCCATTTTTTTTTCCTTTCCCTTTTCCCTTTTCCCCCCTTTTTTATTTTTTTTTTCCCTTTTCTTTTCTCTTTTTCCTTTTCCTCCTGCTGGCACTGCAGGCAGTTCCTCTCCCTGCCCCCAGGCCCTGGAGCCCCCCTTTCCCAGCCCAGCCCCGGGGGCTGTGCCCCCCCCACTCACCCGTGGTCTCCACGATGCCCTCGAGGATGACGACGATCTCGAACTGCTCTGTCTGCATGCTGCGCTGGGACAGGTCGTAGAAGGGGCTCTTGGAGTCTATCACGTGGCAGATGGTGAGGGGGGACACCAGGAACAGCTGGTCAGCCCCGGTGCTGAAGCCCACGTCCAGCTCCAGCTGATCCAGAGGCAGGAACTCGCCCTCCGGGGTCTGCCGGGACTGGGGAGGGAGAGGCAGAGGCAGGGAAGGGGGTCAGGAGCAGGTTGGGTGTGGGAA